GCACCAAAATTTATCGAAGAAACCCTACTTTCCCTCAAATCTCACATAGATTCAAAGACATTAATTATTTTGGACCTTACCAAAACAATGTGTCTGCTGGATAGATCAACCTGGCTAAAGCTCAACAGAGAAAACTCAGATAAAAACAACTGCATAGATCAACTAGATTTAACTGACATCTATCTACCGAATATTTCACCTAGCAGCATAAGAATACATGTTATTCTCAGCAACACATGGAACATTGTCCAAAGTAGACCACATTTTAGATCAAAAAGAAAATTTGTCACTTTCAGAAACATTGAATTCATGCCCTGCATTCTCTCAGACCACAAGGGAATAAAATGAGAATTCAACACCAACAACCAACAAAGAAAATCCTGTAACACATGGAGGCTGAACAACACACTTTTGAACCACCAGTGGGTCATGGAAGAGGTTAGAAAGGAAATTCAAATGTTCAAAATATTTAAGAAAAATGAACACACAAATAATCAGCTCCCCTGGGACACAGCAAAGGCAGTACTCAGAGTTCCTACATCAACAAATTGGAGAGATCTGAAATCAACAATTTAACAAGGCACCTGAAGCTCCTTGAAAAAGAGCAACACGCTAAACCCCAATCCAGTAGATGGAAACAAATAATTAACATTAAATCATAATTAAATGAATTAGAGTTTAAAAAACATAGAAAGAATCAACAAAAATTATTGAAAAAGATGAAAGAATTGACAGACCCTTAACAAATTCTATTAGAAAAAGAAGAGCACACACCCAAACAAACAAACTCAAGAGATAAAAATGGTAACATCAACACAGAAATAACCAAGATTCTGAACATCGTAAGGGAATACTTCTCAAACATTTATGCTAATAATCTTGAGAATCTGGAAGAAATGCATTAATTTCTAGCAAATATTGACATGCCCAAACTACAATAAGATAATTTAAACCAAGTTAACAGACTCATATCAAGCATCGAAATAGAAACAGCACTAAGAGACCTCCCACCCAAGAAAATCCCAGAACCCGATGACTTACAGCTGAATTCTATAAAGCCTTCAACACAGAACGCACACCAATACTCTTCCAAACCCTCAATAAAATTGAAAGTGAAAGTTCACTACCAAACTCTTTCTAGGAAGCCATCATAATCCTCCTCCCAAACCCAGGAAGGGACGCATCAAACAAAAAGAAATATAGACTCATTTTTTTGATAAACATTAATGCAAAACTCCTCAACAAAATTTGGCCAATGGACTTCAACAACTTATCAAAAACATCATACACCATGATCAAACAGGATTCATTTCAGGGATACAAAGCTGGTTCAATATATGCAAATCAATTAATATAAGTAATCACTTCAACAAGAGCAAGGATATGAACTACATGATTATCTTAATAGATGCAGAAAAATCATTTGCCAAGATCCAACACCCCTTTATAATGAAAGCTCAAGAGAAACTAGGAATCCATGGAACATTCCTCAATATAATAAAGACTGTGTATGACAAACCTACAGCCAGCATTATACTTAATGGTGAAAAGCTAAAGTTATTTCCTCTAAATTCATGATAAAAGCAAGAATCCACTCTCTCCACTTCTCTTCAATTTAGTATTAGAATGTCTAGAAAAAGCAATAAAATACAAATATAAAGGGGATACAAATAGGGAAAGATGAAGTAAAACTCTCCTTCTTGGCAGATGACATGATCTTGTATTTAAAGAAGTCCATGGACTCCACTTCCAATTTATTCAAGCTGATCTGAAACTTTGGCAAAGAAGCAGGATACAAAAATTAACCCTGAAAAATCAATGGCCTTTCTGTATGTCAATAGCGAGAAGAGTGCAGTTGAAATCAGGAAAGCAAGACCTTTTGTAATATCCCCACAAAAAAATAAAATACTTAGGAGTTCATAAAACTGAAGAAGTGAAGGACCTCTATGATGAAAACTTTAAAAACTTGAAAAAGGAAATTAAAGCATAACTAAGGAAGCGGAAAAACCTCCCATACTCCTGGATTGGGAGGATTAGCATCGTGCAAATGGCAATACTGCTTACAGCTAGCTACAAATTCAATGCAATATCTATCAATATTCCAAGCTCATTCTTCTTTGAAATAGAAGAAGCAACCCAAAAATTCATATGGAACAATAGAAGACCCTGAATTGAAAAAACAATACTTAACAGAAAGAACTGTGCTGGAGGAATATCAATACCAAACTTCAAATTCTACTAAAAAGTCATAGCAATCAAAACATCTTGGTACTGGCAGAAGAACAGACCTGATGACCAATGGAATAGAACTGATGACCCACAAATGACCCAATAGACCTATAGCTACCTAATCTTTGATAAGAGAGCTAACAAGTAGAATGGAAGAAAGACAACATCTTCAGTAAATGGTGCTGGCAAAATTGGTTAAACACCTGTAGGAAACTAAAGCTAGATCCTTATATATCACCCTGAACCAGAATCAACTCCAAATGGATCAAAGACCTCGGAGTCAAGGCAGACACCCTGAAAACATTACAGGAATGAATTGGAGAAACTCTAGAGCTCCTTGGAACAGGGCAAAATTTTCTTAACAAAAACTCAGAAGCACAACAAATCCAAGAAAGGTTGGACAAATGGGATTGCATGCAACTGCAGAGCTTCTGCATGGCAAAGGATATAGCTAGGAAGATCAATAGAAAACCCATGGATTGGGAGAAGATCTTCACTAGCCATACAACAGATAAGGGCCTCATATCTAAAATATTCTGGGAACTCAGAAAATTAAATCCCCCAACAAGAAATTCTCAAAGAAACAATTGCTTGATTAATAAGTGGGCTAAGACTTACAAAGAAACTTCTCTGAAGAGGAAATAAGAATGGCCAATAGACACATAAAGAAAAACTCAACTTCTCTAGTCATACAAGAAATACAAAACAAAACAACATTGGGACTCCACCTCACGCCAGTTAAAATTTCTACAAACAAGAACTCTAATAACAACAGATGTTGGAGGGAATGTGGCCAGAAGGGAACCCTACTGCATTGTTGGTGGGAGTGTAAACTTGTTAAACCACTTTGGAAAGCAGTATGGAGGTTCCTCAAAAACTATACATAGAGTTCCCCTATGTCCAACAAACCCACTTTTAGGCACTTAACCAAAGTGTCACAAACAAGACTATACTAAAGCTACCAGCACAACTATGTTTATCACAGCATGATTCATTATAGCTAAGATATGGGACCAACCTAGATGCCCCTCAGTGGACAAATGGATCAAGAAAACATGGTATGTATATATATATTTAATGAAATTCAATGCCTCCATCAGAAAGAATGACATCGCCTCATTTGTTAGGACATGGAAAGACTTGGATGTTAAGTAAAGTAAGCCAGGCCCAAAGAAACATAGGTCCCATGGTTTCCCTTACTTATAATATCTAGTATATGTCTAGGACCAGCAGAAAATGTCAAAAGCTATGTACATAAGATTATATAAAATGATGTATAGAAAAATGAACCCCAAGATAGGGACACAAATGATTTTTTTCTTTCTTGCTATTTTTAAAACATATTTATAATGTACTATGATTTTTTGTATGTTATTCCCCCACAGTATAACTACTTTTGTCACTGTATTTGATTCTAGTGCCCTGCATCTTGTATATACATTTTTCTAATTTGGGGAGAGAAGGGAAATAACAAAATTCTGAAATAAGGATACAGGTTGATCCATTGTAAGAATGAGATGTCCAAGGCACTATTTTGAAAATGAACTGTATAACTTCAGGGGTGCAGAGAAGGAAGAGTTGCGCAGGTGGGGAGGGAAGGGATGGTAGGGGAAAAACAAAGAAAGAGGTAATAATGCTCAATAGGAAATGTACTCATTACCTTCCTCATGTAACTGTAACCCCTCTGTACAGTATTTTATAATAAAAACATATACATATATGTTAAGAAAAATGTTAAGAAATGATCATATTTCCTGGCCATAAATGGAATACAAATCAAAACAACTCTGAGAGTTCATCTCACATCAGTAAGATTGCCCAATATTTTAAATATGAACAACAACAAATATCGTTGGGGATGTGAGAAAAAAGGAACCCTACTACACTGTTGTTGGGAATGTAAACTCATACAACCGGTCTGGAGAGCAGTCTAGGGGTTCCTCAAAAAACTAAACATAGAGCTTCCCTATGGCTCAGCCATAACTACTCCTGGGTATCTACTCTGAACATCATGAGCCAAGATATGATAAGTACACCTGCATATCCATGCTCATTGCCACACTATTCCCAACAGTATGACAAGAAGAGTGCAGATGCTCCACAATAGATAAGTAGATCTAAAAGTGTAGTACCTATACACAATGGAATTTTACACAGACATTGGAAAGAATAAAATGATTCCATTTGCAAAGAAATGGATGGAACTAGAACAAATCATGTTAAGTAATGTAAGCCAAACAGCAAAAAATGGCACATGTTCTCTCTGATATGCAGAAAATAGATCTCAAGTGCGCTGGGAAATGCTCAATTTTGCAGGATTCTAGGCACTCACACTCAGTGAGACTAAAAGAGGATACTCTAAGGTGAGAAACACAAAAACACAATGCTTAAATACCTCTTCTTTTTATAAAATAATATGCATACTGAAACAAACGCAATAACATAGAAGCAAGAGACCTCTTCTTACTTTCTTTTAGTTTTTGATTCTGTCTTCTTTACCTTATGTATAATATATTCAAATGTACATCTTCGGAAAGGTTGGGGGAAGGGTACAGAACTCAAGGGAAAAAAGGTAAAAAAGTGTCAACAGTGGAGCTCCCTGAACACTGATGGTGGGTGGGAGGGAGGGACTAGGAGAGAATGGAGAAACAGAAGACACCATACCCAAGGAAATGTACTCATTACTTGACTCATGAAATTGTAAAGCCTCTGTACATTGCTTCTATAATGGCAGTAAAGTAAATTAATAATTTTTTAAAAAGAAAACTTACCTGTCTCGATTTTATTAAGTCCAGGGGGAGTAGAGGGAGTTGTATCTTTTTCAGGCATGATTATTGATGGGATTCTGAAACCTAATGAGAAAGATGAAAAACAAATAAAAAGTATGAATTAAAATTAATTTGTTTTTAATTTCATTAGTAATTTCTTCCACATTTCATGAACTGGTGGAAGGAGAATGAGTTTTCAATATTACCAATATATTTCATATACACAAAAGTCAATTCTAAAGTATGTTTAAAATACAAGGAATTCATCACTACACACTTCCTATTAGGAATACTGTAATATCATAGGAAATATCATTAAGGCCAAAAACCCTCATTACCTTCCTTTACTGGTAACTTTAAAAATATGCCTTCCTAACACCGAGATAGTTTAGTATTGGTCATTGTAGTTGCGGGTTCAAAGATCTGTGCAAAGTTGGAACCTGTGATGTTTTCATTTCATGTGGTATTATTTCAACCTTACTACCATCTCTGTTATACTTTCCCTTGCTTGATTTCCAAAATATTACGGGCAAAATAAAATCCATAAAATATAGAAATTTGTAGTATAACAATATATTCACTAGCCAATTTCAGCAATTATCAACATGTGATCAATGTGTATTCCATAGACATCCATTTTCTTGATAATCTACCTTTGGTCATGGTTAAGAAACTGTCAGATAAAATACTATTATATTTCAAATACTTTATGAATTTTTAAAGGCAAAAGCATAATAATGTAATTATGCACAATTAATAAATTTAATTTCATTAAACATACGATTCCTGTTCGTATTTCTTTCATTGTCTCACCTGTTTTCTGGATTCTAAAAATAATTCATGGTAACACTAACGAGATCTCTCTATAGCACAGAAGTGACATCTTTCACTGTTTTACTTTGTGTGTTTTCAAATAAACTAATCTATTTCACAGATGCCAATTTCATGAAAATGGTAGTTGAAAAAGTATGTGAATTCTTATTCTATACAAAAATGACAATATAAATAATAAAAAGAAAAAGTTGACTTTCCAATTAATGTAGAACTGGGCAAATTGGAAAATATGTCACAAACCACTACTTAAATAAAATATGTCTAAACTACATCTTTCGAATCTTCATAAAAGCACGTAAGAATTAATAAGGCAATAAATACATGGAATGATACATGGGAGAATACAGAAAATTAGAGAGGGAATTCAGGTCAATATCTGGCCCAAGTCAGTCAGTTAAGAGGCTGGGAAATACTGAATGAAAGTCACACAAAATCTTATAAACAATCTTGATTTTGTGGTGAATGTCTGTAATCCCAGACTGTGAAGTGAAATACGAAGACTGCCTATTTTAAGGCTAGCCTGGCCTAAATGTGGCTTCAAGAACTGAAGTAACCTCTATGTTTCATAGATCAAAGTAATAATAATTAGTAGAAGTAATTATACATTATATATTATGTATTATATTATTATAAAACCTCAAATTTTGACAACAGAAGACAGATTTCAGTCTTTACAAACCATACTAGAAACTTGAACCTGTTACAAACTATTGTCCAATAAACTACATTTTAAGAAATGGAAGAAGACAGAAATAAAATATTGTGAAGGCTTCCCATTGATTAAAGTCTGATGACATAAACCTTATGAAAGCAAAACAAAACAACTCTCGCCATGCACAAAGTCCAAGGAAACCCAGTACGCAAAGCCAATTAAATTACAAACACCAACAGACTCACAGGTACCCCATAAAGTGCAATTGCTATGGAGCAAATACATTTCACCTTTCATAACGTTACATATTGAAGTATGGAAAGTATAAAATTTGACTGCATCAGTATGGGGCCCTTTTCCCTTCCCTACTAGGGTGATAGCAAAGCAAGTATAACAGTAACCAACAGTGATGAGGCCATACCCTATTACATGTCTGAGGAGAGCACAGAGGAAGTAACAAGGCAGTACACCCACTGAGAGAGAGTGATCTGTCGAGGCCTGGTGAGAAACTGGAACTTCCATTCCTACCCATGTAATAAGAGAAGTACGAGGTGCAAAACAAAGCCCTAATAGTTATAACATCAGATACTAGCAAAGACATAGAGTCACTTGTAATTGCTGGTTCAAATGTAAAATAACACAGTCTAGAGAATAGTTGGTAGCTCCTTTAAGCACTAAGGGTGGTCTTTTTCAGTGTGATCCTGTAATTGTACTCTTAACATCTTACCTTTGAAAAAATGTATTTTCACTCAGAAACTTGTACATGAATAGTCTTAGAAGCTGTAACCAGAATAGTCCAAACCTGAATGTGACCTAAATATCTTGAAGTGAGTGTATTGTTAAACCAACTGTGATATATTCATGCCATTCATCACAGTCAACAAAAAAGAGGGAAAAGACTATCCACAATTGGTATGAATCCCAACTTAACACGCTGGGAAAAACTAATGCCAATGTCAAAGGATTTTGTGTGATTCAATTTCTATTTATAAGATCACATAATTTTAGTGATAAAGAATAAATTTCTGGTCACTTGGAGCTACCAAGGTAATACCAAGGAATCCTGTAATGGTAGAGGAAAAACATCTTTGTTGTAATGGTAGTTACACATCTGATAAGATTTCATAACTTCCTATTCACAAAATGTCTGCATGTATTACTGGTGAAATGGAAATAACCAGTATGATTTGTATGAACATGGATTCTTTTAATTATATTTTTATTATCCTTAAGCAGATGTACACAAAGATATTACAATTTCACGTATCAGTTCATGAGTACAACACTACTTGATGTATGTCATCCCTTTGTTGATTTTTTGTTTTATTATATTAAATTTTTGTACAATGCTCATATAACCTTGGGGGATAATGGGCAAAGAGGCACAGAATCATCTTGTGAATTTCTGTTCAATTTTTTATGAGTTTATAAATCAAGCAGCTTATCACAACTCATAAAGGAATATAAAAATATAATAGAAAATCTTTATGCTTGTGAAAATTAATACAGTTTAATTGTTTTGTCTTTTCCTATCCATTGTATTTACTTGTAGATTTATAGACATGTTCTAATTACTTCAAATGAGGGAAACGATTATGAATTAAACTCTAAACATTCACAAGTAAGACCAAAGAAAGATATTTTTAAGAAAGGATTACAAAGGCTCAATAGCTATGTGCGTATTATCATATAAAGTGATGTTTATCAAAATGAACTCCAAGAAATGGAAATAAGAAGCTTTCTTATTTGTTTTTTTGTCTCCACCTGCCCTTTGTCACTGTTTCTGATTTCTGTACTTTCTGTCTTTATACTTTATTTTTATTTTTGTCAGTTGTGAAGCCTGAACTCTGGGCCTGGGTTCTGTCCCTCATCTCTTCAGCTCAAGGCTAGTGCTCTACCACTTGAGCCACAGCACCACTTCTGGATTTTTCTGCTTATTTGGTGTTGAGGAATTGAACTCAGGGCCTCATGCATGCAAGGCAAGCGCTCTACCACTGAGCCACCTTTCCAGCCCCTGTACTTTCTGTCTTGTATGTAAGTTTGTCTGTTTGGGGGAGAGTAAGTGGAAGCACAGAAATGGTGGGGCAAAGGGTGTAGTAATTCAGCAGCGATACTCACCAGGCACTATGTTAAACACAAACTATACAACTTGTGGGGGACAGGGATCTGTAGGGGAAAAACTGGGAGAAAACCAGGGAAGAAGTGACACTGTTCAGAAATAAATTTACTCATTACCTAATCTATGAAATTGTAACCTCTCTGAACATCACCTTTACAATAAAAATAATTTTTTTAAGTCCAGTTTATGTACATAGCTATTGAGCAATTGTGATCCTCTGCTAGGACTATCCTAGACATATACTAATTATCACAAATGAGAGAAAGCATGGAACCTATGTTTCTTTGGTTCTGGCTTACCTCACTTATGCTTTTTTCTAAGTCTTTAACATTTCCTTACAAATAGGGCGATATTATTGTGTCTGATGGAAGCATAGAATTCCATTGTGTGATTGTGTGTGTGTTTGTGTGTGTGCGTGTGTGCATCACATTTTATTGATCCATTCATATACTGAGGGGCATCTGGGTTGGTTCCATATCTTAACTATGGTTAATAATGCTGCAACAAACACTGTTGTGCTGGTAGCTTTAGTGTGACCATATAAAATGATATTAATTGAAATGAACTCCAAGATATGGAAACAGGTGTTATTTGTTGTTGTTGTTGTTGTTGTTGACCCTGTTGTCATCAATGTACTGCATCAAGTTCTTTCTTTTATTTTTTCCCCCTTTGGTTTATCCCTGGTTGTCACTGTTCTTGAGTCTGATACCCTTTGTCTTGTATATACATTTACCTGAATTGGGGAAGGGAAAGGGAATAACAAAATGGTGAAGCAAGGACAAAAGATGAACCAATGCAACAATGATACTCACAAGACACTAAGTTGCAAATGAACTTTACAACTTCAGCGAGGGGGGAACCAAACTGGAGGGGGGGTGGATAGAGGGAGTAAAACTAAGGAGTGGGTAACAATGTTTAACAAGAAATGTGCACATTAATTATGTAACTGTAAACCCTCTGTACAGCACCTTTGCAGCAAAATAAAATTTAAAAAATTACTTAGCATAAAAAACTACAGTTTAAATAACTCATATGACAGAATACATCACAATGAAACTTATAACATACTTGGGACAACATTTCGTGAATACATACATGAACACCAGGCTGTGATTGCTTCTCTGCTTCCATGGGCAGGAGATGCTGCATAGGGGTCAGTCTGTGTTACAATGTGTATTGACACAATCTCTTTAAGAAAGTGACATCGGACATTAATGAAATGAAAGAATTAATCAGAAGATTATAGAGAAAAATTTTCCAGGAAGAGCTGACCAAGGCCCTATAGGCAAGAAAATGTTCAGAGTGGTCCAGAAACTCTGTTAGCAGATAATTATGAGCTCCAGAATCAGTTCTAATGAAAGAAAAATATAAGTCAACTGCATTTCAATTCACATTCATTCAAAAGCTTTCTGTTGTCCTGGCCCAGTCTCTCCTGCCTGGAAGCCTCCAGCTATTTTTATCATTGTACTAGGATAGCTTAATAGCTTTCCAGAAAGGTAAAAATCTTAGATACATCACAGTTCTTGCCAGAGAGCTTATTATTTTTTTCTTCAACTTTTCACCTTGTAATATAGCTGAGATTTTAAACTGCTTGAATGTCCTGATTCAAACAAAAATGATGTCAAATACTATAACTAAATAGCTTTTCAATCCCTGTATCAGGTTAAACATGGCCAATAAAAGCACAGGCTCCAAACTGCAATCATGATTCAACCATAAATGAGAGTCAGTACATTGAACAAAATCCAGAATCAGAGATTTGAATCTTCATAGAAGAAAAAAAATAACCACTACTAAGCCCAATCATTTAAAATGGCCAAATGAGATTGACAAATATATTGGTTTTCTTACAGTTATAGATGAGGAAAAACTCAGTTGAAGCTAAAACAAACAGAAACCCATCTGCAACATAATAGACAATTAGTTTTATTATCTTAAATATTTGTGCAAAGGAGTTCTGATTCCATGTGTCAGTTTATGACAACTGGATCAATGTCATCCTTTAAAAGGCTGGATTTATGAAAAAGACACTGAGCAACAGTAGCCGTCCATCTAGAAAAGAAGCAGAAATATAGAGCATGGTCTGCCATCAGCATTCTCTCTCTATCCGTCTCAGGTTCTCTTTTATTATCATTTTAGTTTTCTTTTTTACAACTTGAAAAATGTGTATTAAATAAAGCAAAAACAAAGCAAAGCTGAACATATAGCTGTAAAATATGGACTTTCATTTATTAACCCAAGTTCCAAACTATTGAAAATTCTATTTTAGAGAATTTATGACACAACAGAAGGCAAGAATATATCATGCTTTGAAAGTTATTTTCAAAAGGGATATTTTTTCTTTTTTTAAGTTTAATTTTATTGTAAAGGTGATGTACTGAGGTTACAATTACATAAGTAGGCAATGAGTACATTTCTTTTGGAACCGTGTAACTCACTCCCTTGTTTCTTCCCACTTTCCCACTCCTCTACTCCCCCTCCCCCTCCCCCAAGTTGTAAAGTTCATTTCTAACATAGTATCTTGTGTGTACCATCGTTGAATTGGTTCACCCTTTGTCCCACTGTTTCTGTGCTTTGTGCTTCTCCTTCTTTACCTCAAATCAGATAAACTTATATACAAGACAAAGGGTACCGAAATCAAAAACAGTGACAACAGGGGGGGAAAAAAATGAAAGCACAAAGAAATTTGCAAACAGCACACCCCCCACCCCACACACCTCTTTTGCTTTCCTATCTTGGAGTACATTTTGATTAGCAGCGTCGTATATGGTCATAAGTACATAGCTATTGAGCTATTGTGATCCTTTGCTAGGACTATCCTAGATATACACTAATTATTATAAGTGAGGGAAACTGTGGAGCCTATGTTTCTTTGGGTCTGGCTTACTGTACTTAATATTTTTTCCAAGTTTTTCCATTTCCTTATGAATAGGGAAATATTTTTTTTCTTTGTTCTTTTTTGTCAGTTATGGGGCTAGCTTCAGGGCCTGGGTGCTGTCTCTGAGCTCTTTAGCTCAAGGCTTGTGCTCTACCACTAGGGGCCACAAGGCCACTTCTCGTTACCTGTTGATTAACTGGAGAGAAGAGTCTCATGGACTTTCCATGCCAAGGCTGACTTTGAATCATGATCCTCAGATTACAGGCATGAGCTGGCAGCGCCTGGCAGGGGATATCTGTTATTTTTTTATGGTATAGTAATATGAATTTTGTAACAGTACTGAAGATATTTCAAAATACTAAATAATAATATTTTGGAAAATATTGCTCTGTAAGAACAATTTGTATGTGTAAGATCTCTCTAAAATAAGTTCTGATATAAATCATTAAAGTCTAATGCTAACTTTCCTAATCTCTGTTCTTGATACAGTTCTATTGACTTTGTATTATGTCGGTATTATATCCAACACATTAAAGCTAAGATGCATTAAGTATTATACATCATAGTTTTACTAAAGCCAAGCAAATCTTCAGGAAGATTAAATACCATATTTCTTATTCAAGTCATATTAGTCCAGTTTTGTACATATTTTCATAAAGATATCTCAGATCATATTCAGAATTTGTCTGAGCAAAGAAAGAAGCCTTTCACCTTCTGGTAATGACTTGAGACTTAAAAAATGACAAGCAATTCAAATTAGCTTTCATGATGTTAAGTCATATCATAGGTCAATATCATCTATTAAATTATTATTTCCCCTCTGACTCACATCAAATAATTTTATAGTGATTATATTGAAGATCACTTACATTTTTCTAACAAAATGTATTTAACTTGTTAATATCCAATGACTATTTTTGTCTTAAGCATAAAATAATAAATTATTATCAAGTAGAAATATGAATTTCTATGAAAAAGTGACTTCATGAGTTAATAAATTCTATGTCACTTTACTATATTACTTTGCTATTGAAGAAATGTGCATTTTGATTGTTTTTGGTGCTTATATATTGAATATTTCTGTGGATTTCTGCTGGATATTTTAGGGAATATAAGAATTATGATACCTAATCCCTGCCCCCCAGAAGTTTTCCAATACTAGTGGCTCATGAATTATCTAGAGGATCATTAACTAGATAAAAATAATAGTTAAGACATGTACATAAACCTACTGGCCCTAATTTACAAAGCACATCATATAGCACCAAGATATTAACTACTTTCTAGGATTCTGCAGTATGTCACCATATATGCCTGCTAATCAGGGACAGGTTAGAATCAGTGTTCCTGGGGTAAAACTAAAAGAAGAATTCTTAGAACTTTTTAATATGCCACTGCATGTAGTTAAATTTTTACATGAAAATAGAATGGGCAGCATTTGTTAATCAACTTTTAATTTGCAATCCTGGTTGAGTGGAAGCAGGAAAATGATTGCAACATCTTTTGAAACTAGTTTGAAACAAGTTTTAAAAATCTATTATTAAACTAGTTTTTAAAAAATCAAATAAAAATTAACTTAAAAAGATAAACTTCAAAGGAAAAAGTTATAGCTATATTAAACATCTATACAAAAATAAGAAAGGCCTCTTAATGCTAAACAAAGGATAAAGGGTGATACAATGCAATAGGATTGACTCCCAAGACACTATTTACGATTTGGGGGTGCAGGGGGCCAGAGAGGGGGAAGTGGGAAAAAATGAAGGAGGGGGTAAAAATGTTAAACAAGAAATGTACTCATTACCTTACTGATATAACTGTAACTCCCCTGTACATCAACTTTATGACAAAATAAAAGTAAATTAAAATGAAATAAAAAGTAAAAAAGAAAAAAGAAACCATGTAAATTTAGAGCTATGACTTCATAAAAATATAAAGCAATTTATCAGAGTTTAAAAATAGTCACGCAAATAAAAAGAGACATTTCAAATGTCAACAGTAAGTTTTTTGATGGCAAGAAAATATTGTTATAAGGAAAATGAAATATCCAATAGAAATTAGTTAATTAATTAATTACTCAGAAACAGCAATCCTTATACAATTCACATGAGATGAGAGTATGAAGCAAGAGGGAGAAAAGGAGAGACTGATTCACAGAGAAAGAGAGATACAGAGAGAGAGAGAGAGAGAGAGAGAGAGGCCTAATATTACAAGAAATGTTGAGTCCGGTAACTAAAAACAAGGTGAAACTTCTTTTATAAGACATTATTGAAAATGAACTGAGTTATCACAGAGCAAAAGTTAGTAGAGATGCACAAAGAACAAAAAACACTAGCACATCCACAGAAACATGTCTGTGTTGTGAATAGTCATATTCTCTGAATCTTATAAAGGCAAGAAAATTATATGTAATATAAATAACCTTACTCTTTAGGAAAGAAAACCACAACACTTATAAAAGGCCTTTTGGAATTCAGGGAACTATCTATAATGAAATTGTGAAAGTGAAGAAAAACTGTGCATTGACAACTTCTTTCTATTCAGGTGACCTGTTGTCAATCACCCAGCTTCACTAATCATTCAAATTAGAAGACATGGTTGCCACCAGTGCAACCCGAAAAGCCATTGACTTACAAAACACTGACTTACAAGTCTCAACCCTGAGACTTATTACTGCTAGAGTTGAGTTAAACATGCCTTTATTCCATCATTCTAGGTAAAATCCAAGTGCCACGTTGATGCAAAAGTATTTTTTCCCATCAAATAAGTAAATGTTATGTTATCAACACAGGCTTAGTATATGTTTAGATAATTTTGACATATGATAAAGCTTAACTGCTCTAAAAGATAATATTGATGCATAAATTCAATTTATTTTAATCACAGCAGATGTATCTATACCTACAGGAAATTATATGCCAAAATGATTTAAAATGCCAAATGTCTTGCTTGAACAAAATAAACAAAACTCAGTTTCTATAGCTAAGCCAAATAAAACCCATATATTCTTCAATATCATTTTCATCAATGTATACTGGTTATCTAGCAGAAAATATAATATGAACCATACACTGGAGCATTTCTGATTAAGTATTCTTTTATATGTCTACTATTTTATATTATATTTGAGCAAGACAACACTGCCTGTTCACTATGTATTTTTCTTTTCTTGACCACTTGGGAAAACTGGATTTGACAGTTGTTCTTGAAGACAGTTTTAAGTTGCATACATGGACCTCTGGCCACTGGTATTTGGAGTGACTCTTAATCTCAATACCATTCTGTTTACTAACAGCTCTTCAGCTTTTCATGG